GTGCCCAGCTGTGCACCAGTCTTGCCCCAAATGTGGGTCTGTGTAGAGGTGGGCGGGTTTATTTCTTAAATGGTTGGGGGGGGGGGGGGGCGTGGCATCCTCATGCTTCTGAACTACAACTCCCAGCCTCCCTCATGGGTGACCACGCTGGGAGATACAGCATGGCTGCATCTGGAAGAATCCAGAGCAGCTTCTCCAACATGGCGCCCTCCTAGGGGTGCCCTTCTGGGCATCCTGTGAGTCAGACACCTGGTCTTTCTGGAAGATACCAGGAAGGGGGGAAGGGGGATTGTTTGCCCAGAAATCAAAGAGGTCTCAGGCTTCCTTTTTTATCTAGTGGTACCGGGACTGATAAGGCACCCTTCAGGGTCAGGGCCCCCGTTTTGCTTTCCGAGGCTGTGGGGTGATGCCCTGGTGGTGCCACCAGGAAGAGCTGGATCCCATTTTTCTGGCCATCCCCAAGGAAAGTTTCAAGCAATTCATTTGGGACGGGGGGGGGGGGTTGAATGTAGATTAGGAGCTGCTTGCTTCCCGAAGACGCGTCCTCCCTTTCTACCCTTAGCTCGTATATTTAAAAAACGGTCACTGCTGAAAGCCAGTCCCTGTGCTGCCAGACCTTAGTGGTGCTGGGGCCACACCCAGGTTACCCTCCCAGCCATAAAGTGTACCGTTAGTTGGATTTTAGCCACCCCGGGAGCGTGGGTGACAGAGCCCACGCATGGCCCACATAGCTGGGTGCAGACACGAGTCTTTACAATGCATCCTTTCGTGCGCCTTGGGCAGGAAGGGTGAGGCCAAGAGTTGGCCTTCCCCTCTCAAGACCGCCATTTTTGTAAATTCCCTCCCCAATTGCTTTTACCGGGCAAGTACTTGAATTGCAGCTTTGGGGAGACCTGTGACCCTGAACCCCCAGCCTCCAAACTTACCGCTTAGGTGGCTCCCTGATTTTTGTAGCCGTGACGTTAACAATTCACATGTTGTTCCACATCTTCGGCTCCCCGTTTCCTGAAGTGGGTTGACCACCCGCCCCACTTTTCGTTTTGAGCATGCACACCCAATGGCTGGGCTTTTAAGAAAGGGGGCCCAAAGGGAGACCACCCCCTTCCTTCCGTCTCCTTCCCCCGCGCACACCCCCGCCAGGAACAAGTCTGGAGATGTCCGAGTTTTTGCAAATGCCCATCACAGATCCCCAGGTGCTCCAGTGCCCCCCTTGCCTGCCTATGGCAAGAGAGGGGAATGGGAGGGGTCTGCTGGGTTGGAGCCCCGCACAACAGCCCAAATCCCTAAAATTGCAATGAGGGCAGAAGAGGTTAAGTGCCAGCAGTTGAGTTGGAAGACCTGTTCAAGGGAGTGGGTTGAAATGGAGCTATGCAATGGAAGTATTACCCCCCCCATCCCACCAGCAAAGGGTTGAAATGCAGGGCAGGCCATGTGCTTTTTGGGAGAAGAGCCTTGGAGGGGCCGAGGGCGAGTGGGGGGGCTAAAAATTATTGGGGAGGTTCGGAGATCCATGGCAATTGCAACTTATCAATGTATTATTTTGGGGGGTGCCTGATTGGATGGAAGGCTTGGGAAGAAAAGGGAGAGATGAGTGATTTGTTGGGGGGGGTGAGAAAAAACAGTGCCTGGGTTCCCCAGTAAACTAGTTACAGGAATTTTTTGTTTTTCCTCCCCCCCCCCGCCTCTTCCTCTGTAGTACTCCCCGGTTCTGAACAAGCTTTTCTGCCAAATGGGCAAAACTTGCAAAGTGCTCGTAAAGGTGAGGGAGGCACCGCCGCCAGGCTCCGTGGTCCGCGCCATGGCAGTCTACAAGAGCTCTGAGCACATGGCCGAGGTGGTGAAGCGCTGCCCCCATCACGAACGGCGCCCGGAGTGCAATGACGGTGGGCCTCTCTTGCCGGCAGAGGCGAAGGGCTGTTGGGGACGGGCGTGGGGGGGCCCTCGGTGTGCAGCTGGAGGGCATGTCATGCAGGGGTAGGATCCTCGCCCGATTCTCAGAGCCCTGAGCGCTCTGTTCCTCGCAGGAGGGCGTGACCTGGGTTCACTGCTCTGCCGTGAACTTCCCTGGGTTAATCACCGTCTCTCAGCCTCACCTACCTCGCAGGGTTGTGGTGTGGATAAACAAGGATGCTGTTGGAATCGCAGCATCTTCTCCCCCACCCGTTCCCAGAAAAACACTGGTAAAGCGGCTTGATGTCTTCCAGGTTGGGGGAAGCTCAAGGAAGCGAGCCAAGCCATGTCCTTTGAGCCAGGCTGGCAAAAAATGGGAGGGCAAGAAGAAATTGGAAGGGGGGCCTTCTTCTCACCCCAGCTGTAGTTGGGGTTGATTTGGGGCTGCTAATTGGGGAATGGGGAACACTCAGCCTCCAGCATGAAGCTTCTGCAGTTGTGCCGAACATAAAAACTAAACTCCCCCATTTTCTTTCCTCTGCCCCCCATTTTGTGTTTTTGGACAGGCCTGACCCCCGCTGATCATCTCATCCGAGTCGAAGGCAACCCCCAGGCCCAGTACTGCATGGGCAGGAACAAGCGGCACAGTGTCTCGGTTCCTTACCAGAAGCCTCAGGTTATTGAGCGGGGGGGAGAGTTGTGGGGGGACAGGTGTGATTTGGGGGTTCATCCTAGCTCTCCCCATCTTCTATTTCTTTGTCTAATTGTCTGCTGCCCTCTTCAAGCTAGTAAGTGGAGGGTCTGTATTCTAGAAATGCTGGGAGGGGGATTCTAGTCTCCGGGAGCAGGCCTTTGCAGGTACACTGCTACTAAATATGGCAGCTCTGTCCTTTGTCATGATGGCAGAGCGAATGGAACGAGCTGCCTGCTCTGGGAACTGGTTTTAAAAAGGAGGAATGTGCAACTAGACCAGTGCCAGCTTCTGAGCATGCTCAAATGTCCTAATTTTGGGGGTGGGGGGAGTGGGATTGCAAACTTTCAGGCTTCAGTTCTGCTGATGCTTCCTTTGGACCCCCCGTCCCAAATGTCTGGGATGCCAAGAATGAGGTTGGTTGGAATAAATCCAAATTTGGCTAAACCGGTTTGGACGGCCAGTTCTCGTGGCAGTGAGCTCCGTTCGCCTTTCTGCTCCGCATCCTGCCCTGTTTTGCCCCCCATGAAGTTCTCCATCCCTCCGGCCACGTTCAATGAGTTCCCAGTTTCTTCCCAACTTCCTCCAGTCCTTGAGAGCAGCTCGGGGGGTGGAGGGGCGTGGAGGAGAGATCGAATATTTGTGCAAAATTCTTCCCCTCCCCTGCAGGTGGGGACGGCTTGCACCATCATCCTGTATAACTACATGTGCAACAGTTCCTGCATGGGGGGCATGCACCGGCGCCCCATCCTGACCATCCTGACTTTGGAGTCTGCAGAGTGAGTGCTCCTCTTCCTCTTCCTCTTCCTCTTCCTCTTCCTCCCTGGCCTGGCGGTCCCAGAGAGTTTGGTCTGAGACGGGGAATCGTTGCTAAGACTCTGAGCCTGCCTGTTGAATGCTGTGCGGGATCAAATTCGGAGCCACTTAGCAGGGAAGCGTCTGCCCTGTTTGCTAAGTACGACCCGGGCCCGGTTCCAGGGGGCTGGCCAGAAAAGCATAGGGTCCGGGCATGGCAGGGGCCCTTTGCTGCCCAGCCTTGCATCAAAACCTCCGGGGATGAAGCCCCACAACGCCAGGAGGCTTAAATGCTCTCCCGGTCAGGAAGTTCCGCCTCCTTTCGAGTGTGGATCCCCCCCAAAAGCTTCCACCCCTTGGCTCTGTCTTCCCGTGTGGGGCAGGAGTTGGGCAGTTCTTGGGAGCCCAGGAGCTGCCCCACAGCCGCCCCTGGTTTGGCCTAACCAAGAACTAGCTGGTTGTGGAACGGGCATAGAGGAAAATTTGCCTGGCTTTGCATTGCAAAGATGAAAAGACAAATGGGGTGAGAGGCTTCTGCAGGGGGGTTCAGAAAGTCAAGGTGATGTGTGCGACCGAAGCCCCGCCTCCTTTTTTACCTGCATCACACGTGAAAAAGGAGGCAGGGCTTTGGTCACACATGCCATTTGACTTTTTGACACAGACGCTTGGATACCCCCAGTCGGAAATGCAGCGATGCGTGCTCTCTCCTGCGCTGAGAAGCAAGGAAGAGCAGTGTTTAATTTACCAAAAATGTAATGTGTGGCATTTAATTCACTTTACCTGCCTACCGTAACTTACCTTACTTCACCGACCTTACTTGATGTACCAGGATTTGAACCCGCTGCTTAACCGGTGGCTGTTAGCAGCTTACAGACTCAAAAGCAACAATATAAAACGGGGGAAACCGTCAAAAACGCAGTCGTCCCTTGAAATGAAAGCTGGATTCCCCATCCCTACCCCGCTGGACCCTTGGGCGGGGATGGGGCCACCGGCTCTGCAGCGGGAGGCGAAACGTTTCCCTCTGCCCTATGGCGTCTTCAGGGACCCACCTTCTCTGCCCTAGGGGAGAGGTCCTGGGACGCCGATGCTTCGAAGTCCGGGTCTGCGCCTGCCCAGGCCGAGATCGACGGTCTGAGGAACGCAGCTTCCAGCAGAAAGGTAATTCAACAGGACAACCCAAAAAGGGTGAATCTGAAGACCCATCGGTCGGTTGCGAGAGAGCCAAGGATCTGCCGAAGGAAGGGCAGTTGCAGAGAAGTTGCATTATTAATTGCTGGAATCCAGAGAAGGGGGTCAAAAAAGTCAAAACAGTGAGTGCACGGCAGAATCAAAGCCATGCACCTTTGCTACGGTAGAGCAGAGTTTCTCAGCCTCAGCAACTTGAAGATGGGCGGACTTCAACTCCCAGAATTCCCAATTTTGGATTTTAATCCAAAATATTTGAATCAGCCCTTAAGATGTGTAAACCAGGGTTTATACCATAGCATGATGGGTGAATAGGCTTGCAGAAACGTGAATGAACATTACTGTAGATCAGTGTTTCTCAACCTCGGCGACTTGAAGATGGGGGGGGGATCTCCTCCCCAAAAACAACTCCCCCCCCCCACGACCGCATGGGGGGTTGGGGGGTATCTTAATACCCCCCCACCCCCCGCCGCGGGTGGGGGGGGGGGGGAATTCTGGGAGTTGAAGTCCACCCATCTTCCAGTCAGATAAAAGAAACCGGAGTCCAGGCCAGAACGGCAACCTGAGAGAGCCCCTCAGATGAGACCCTCCCCAGTTTTCACCAAGACAAGCTTTCAGACTTGCAAGATTCTGTTGCAATAACCTTATAAAAGTAGCATTACCATGCACGACTTCGGTTTCCTCCTCTGGCCTGCCTCGCAGGGCTG